CGCAATATGGTTCATGGGGTCACGAAGAGTCGGACATGACTTAACGACTGAACAACAAAAAATGGGGATTTGACTAAGGACAAGAACTAAAAGAGAAAGTGAATGGAATGACTGGATTAACTGTGATCATTCACCAAAACACAGAAACATCCAGACAAACGTGGCTCCTCTTCAGCTCCACAATTTGCATCAAAAGTGAAAAATGGCTTAAAAGCCATTTAATCCGAACTATAAATAAGCATTACATTGCTGTGATAAAACTGATGGTGGTGGGGAGAGACAAGCGCAAATGAGTCCTTTTTGGAAATGTTGGGGAGCCTATTTTGTACTCCCACTCCTAATCAGCACTGCAGAGTCAAGGATGATGGGAGCTGAAGTCCAATGAGCTCTGATAGTTGTTTGATAGGCTCCTGCCAAGTTTAATCTTGTCTTCTGAGCTGTGTCACGCCAAACAAAGAATGCCTACCAGTTTAGTTCACATTTTTTAATAACATGGCACAGATTTTACATTACACAAGGCTTTGCTCATGAGGAAACATGCTGTGGATTGAATGTTGCTTCAGAGTTGTTGATTTTTTTTTTTTCCTTTTCACATAAGATTTAGAAAGGACTTTATTACATACAGGAGAAACAGCAAAAAAGATTTGTATATAACAATATTTTTATACAATACTGAAAGCTATCACTACAGTGCCAGTGTACATTTTTTTTCAGGGTTCTCTTTTTTTTCTTTGTTTTGTCTTGTTCTTAAAAAAAACACTGCACAACATCTGGAGTTCACAAAATCTGAAGTTCACAACTAAAACTTTTTAGTTGACTACTAAAATAGATTTCTGATCATTAGAAACAGCGGTCTGGAATAGACTTTTTTTTTTCTTTTTGTCAAAACAGGAGAAACAATTTGAGATATCACTTTAACACTAGAAGACCAATGGAACTATTTTTTTAATCCCATACACATATTTTTACAGTTTATTAGGAGGCAAGGTACTGTACGCTTTCTGATAAAGTCATATTCTCTCCAAAGTATTTCAAAACAGAATTGAGCATTTCAAAACAATCTCATGAAAACAGAGGCATTGAACATTATGAAAACAATTTCGACTTGGGGGGGCGGGGGAAAGAGGATATTTGTGATTTCCTTTTGCCTGTAACTGATGCTAAAATAACAGCAGAAACCACAGAAATCAACATCATACAATGCACGATGGCAACCTTTTCCGTGATGAACGTCACCACATGATTTTGAGTATTGGCATGAGCAAACCCAAAATCAAGCAGAGTATCATTTTTAAAATGGCCCAAATCTCATGGGATTGCCAATTTCATGCAATGTTAGGGTTCTTAACCCCCCCCCCCCCCCCCCCCCCAAGTCTTGCAGTACTTCAATCTTCTCACTTGAAAATGCATGAGATTTCAAATGAGATCATTGACATCTCCTAGCTTGGATGATCTTGTGAAATTTAAGCCTTCTCTCATTTCTAGAATAATCATGGTAGTCCTGTGGATACCAGAAGGGGTGACAGGCAACATGGTGCTTGTGGCCCTCTGCTGTTCATCCCTACAATGATGGGGCTGTGGGAAAAATGTCCACGTAAGAGTGCCGTGTGGGCAATGTTTCTGAAGAGCTAATAGCACAGTTCTGCACCTGGTCAAAAGTACATCCCAGGTAACAAGCCTTACTCCTATGTTACTAGATGTAAAACTAGAGCCTGAATGTGGGAAAGGGGTTAAGAAAATTGGTGCCCAACCCCAAAATAAGAACAAAAATGGTTCTTTTTCCCAAATGGTAAGGATATCCAAAATCCTTAGATAGTTCCAAGTTGCTACTCCATATAGCACCAGAAGTATCAGGTTTACAACAGGTGGCATTTAGAAAAGGTGAGGTTAATGTTATAAGGCCTGGCTCTAAACTCACACCAGGGCAGGCAACATGGTGTACTCCAGTTGTACTGGGCTTCAACTCCTATCAGATCCAACCAATGCCAAGATATTAGAGGATTTGGGGGCAAAAAGTCTTGAAGCATCAGATGCTCTTTGTTTGCCAAGTACTGGAGGTGAGTAGAACCACTAAGGCAGTGTCTGAGATCAACCAGCTGCCCACCAGGATTTTGGAATAAAACCTCCCTCATTCATTTTCATGCACCACTTCCTTACTTGCCCTACCTCAATTAGGGATTGGGGTGCAAAAATCTGGAAGTCCATTTGGTTCTTTTTTGAGTTTGTACAATATATAAACTCACCAAATGGACTGGATTTGCGTAGCATGTTAAACCACAAAAAGAAAAGAAAAAAAAATAATCAAGGTGAACACTAACCAAACTTAGGATGTTGTACAAATATTGTTGCTGGGTCTTTAATCTGATCTCAACATCTGGCACAAGTCTGTAACTTCAGAGGCATCTGGGGGAGAGGTTAGAAAGTCAAATGGCAGCTGTGACTGCATGACCAAAGCCTTGCTTATTTTTACAGGCATTGCACAAAAAAACACAGGTTAAAAAAAAATGTCATTGTGGCTGCCATCTTGTCTTTTATGATCCCCCGGGCAGATTAGCCTGTGTAAGTGTAGATTTTGTTACATGACACTCATTTTGTCACTTGTAACCCCTGGAGAAACCTTTGGTTACACTCCAAATGTTGGATGAAACAAAGATGAACAAATGGGCGAAGTCAGGAGAATGAGCTACGTTTGATAAAATTTAAATATTGAAATGCTGTTAATACAGTGATTTCCCATGCATTTAATAATTTCCCCCTTCTTTCATATTAAAAGTTATAATTTGGCAGAAAACCTGGGGGGGGGGGGGGACAGATTGTAAATCCCCTCCTCCCACCCATTCTCCACACTTTATAAGGCCTAAAGATAAGGACAGCCCAGACAATATTGTTGGCTGGGTTCAAAATGTGTTTGGCTCCTCTAAATGGATTTCAGCAAAAATGGTCCACTTCTGGGTTTTTTAGTTTGATTCACAGTGATCCAGTAACAGCTATGAAGAGGCTGGATGTGATCTAACATTGTACAACATTTTTCAACTTAAAAAAAGAAAGAGAAAGAACAAAATGCTAGCTAGCAAAAAGTTTTTTTTAAGCACTAGGTAGGAAAAGCAAACAACAGTTGATACCCAAGCTCTACTTGTTGAAGATGAAGATGGTTTATTTCTTCACCCAGAAGGTATCAGGGATGTGTGGGTTTGTTCAGGGAAAGTATGACTTTATGTGTGGTTGAGTGTGTTGACAAGGCGCCTTTGAGTTAAAGAGGCTTTTGTGAAAAACCTCCAAATTAATTGCATAGCTGAAGGGGTTTAGCTGTCTTATGACATTAGATGTACCGCAGCTGCGGTCTTTCACACAATTGAAGTCTGCAAAGAGCACAGTTTAAGAAGTAGTAATGCATTATGTTACTTTTTTTTTTTTCCTATGTACATACTTACAAAGTAAAGCTTTCATCTTACCCATGTTGCATATATGACCCATCAACCCACGAAATAACGTTATTTTCAACAACTCTCTTACGGGGGAGAAAAAATAAAATAAAAGAGTTATAGTTTTCTTCATTTCAATCTGGCGAAAAGGAAAAGAGAGAGAGGTGGGAAGAGGGAAGGAGTACTCTGTTTTTTGGGGAGATGAAATACTGACTTACATCTTGATCTTGTAGGGATCCCAAACAGGAGAAAGAAAGAGCATTTACGTAGAAAATGTGCCAACTTTTGCCTAAAAGGTTCTGAAAACTTTTTTTCCCCAACATATAATATACAACCCAACCATTTTTTTGGAAAAAAAAAGAAGAAGAAGAAAAGAAAACCTTAGTACACCTGGGTCTATACATTTTATACAGTTGGGTCATAACCAAAGTCTTCATTTATTGAGTAAGAAGATCCGATAGATTTCAGTTTGTCTAATGTTCACTCTTGGACTTGTTTTGCCATTATTTATCGTGCTTCTATGTCTTTGAGAGTGTGAGAGGGCGGCCTGTCCCTCATTTCTGTTGACAAAGGGGTAGTCCTTCGGGGGGAACCAGGCCGAGGTCCCAGAGTGGAAATGAGAGGGGGAGGAGCACTCAGGGCTGCTGTGGGGGGCGTTTTATTGAGAATCCCATTCTGAAGTCCTGAAGGGGGACTAACTCGGGGATAATGCATACTAGGAAGTCCTGGAGTAATTAAACTTGGGTGGGCCAAGTGGCCATCCAGGGCCGCGGGATGCACAGAGTGAAGCCGTACATGCTCATAGTCCTCTCTGAGCATGTGTAACCTTTCTCTCTCATCCAGGTGGGCCCCTCTTTCGTGCTCACGGCGTGGGTCAACTGAAAGGGGGTGGTGATGATTATTGTAGTCATGTGGCTCTCTGTCCCTGAAAGACCTCTCTGCATCGTATAGCCTTGGTGTGGAGAGGCGGTGTAGTGGATCATTCCTTAGGAGAAACTCCCTGCCCAAAGGGTCTCTCCGATGGATGTCTAAGTCTCTGTAGGGATCCCTCAAGGGATCCCTCATGGGGTCCCAGTGGAATGAAGGATATGGGAAGCGTTCACCACCTGGAATTGGGCTAATCCCCATAAAAGGTGTCATCATGCGAGTCCTATCTAGACCACTGATGGTGTTCATGGGATGGATGCCAGTGACCCCCACAGTCATGGGCATTGACACTAAAGGCCCTGGATGGACACTGGCTGCGGGCATTGGTGGTGGTTGCTCAGATGGCCGGTGTGTCTGTGGTGTTTCAGGAGAAATGTCATGATCTTCCTTCCTTTCCTCTTTCACTTTGACCTCACTAGATTTTTTGAGATTCTCATAAGCAGGCTCACTCTTCTTCTCAGCATCCCGATTGGAGTTGCTGTTAGGTCTGGTGCTTTCTGCAGCAGGTGTCCTGGTGTAGGGTGAAGGCACCTGAGATGCTTGTTTAGATTCTTCCAATGGTCTGTTATCATGGGTCAGACTTTCCTTATCTGAAATATAGTTGTCCTTTGCCTTGTGCTCATCAACACTGATATCTTTCCGTGATTCTGAATGATCCCTCTCTCGCTCTTTGGATTTCTCTTTTTCACGAATCTCTGAGTTCAGGTGGCTCCTGATCTGTTCAACTGAGCTGCGGCTATGTCCAAGGGAACTCACAGAATGGATAGGTGCTGGTGAAGGGTGGCTTGAATGTCTTTTCTCAATAGTCTCCCTAGAAGTAATGAAAGCACAAAAAATTAACACAGCAGAAAGATTATAGAGAGGCTTAAGACCAAAGTTTTGTCAATATCCTGCATAATTATTACCTGCCACGTACGAATAACTAGTTCCAGCTCCCAACAGTTTCAGATGGTTTGGCCAAAGATCAGAGCTGGTGAGGATCAGCATCCCACAACATCTAGAAGGCTACTATCTCCCTGCCACTTATATATCAAAACAGCCCTCCCTAACCTGGCACCTTCCAGTTCTTTCACTGAACTCTTGTTATTTGGAGATAATGGGAGTTTTAATCCAAGGAATCTGGATGGGAGTATGCTGTGCAAGGTTGCACTAAAGCCTGATTTATTTCAGTGGTGTTGACACAAGGTGTCAGTTCTAAATGGGGATGCTAACACATACTTGGTGTTCCAGAAAGATAACACCCTCCCTCAGGGTGTTCCATCAGACAAAAGTGTTCATTCAGCCAGGCAACCTGAAACACCTCTGCAGATTTATGTGAGACCCCTTTGAGATATCTAAAGGTATATTTTGCTAGTGGGCCACAGTGGGATAGAATTGTGACCTTTGGGATATCCTTGGGGTTATTTAGAGCCAAATATCAAGCCAATGTGGATAATACAATGTTGGCAGAGATTCCTTCTTGCCCCCTTCCCACAAGCATCTTCTTAAGTGCACTGAATGACACAAAGGAATACAAGAATAGCTTCTAGGAAACTATTTGGTCTTTGGCTTTTGCAAACCTTTTTTTATTTTTATTTTAAATGAATAGACTCGACTGGATTATTTTACCAACTGATTTTTGCCCCCTTATTTTTTACAATTGGTTTCAAGACCCACAGGACTTCTTTCTACCCTTTGCCAACTAATACTAGGTAGAAACCAAATTGCCTGGTGAGATGCTACCAAGTCTTATGCCATACACCCACCCATCCATCCAATTTATGGTCAAAGGCCAAAAAGAAAAAAAAAACTATTAGAACAAAAAAAGGAATTAATATATTAGAAGGAAAAAGATTAGTAGTGAACATTAAATGGTCAGGCCATTTAAGCTTGAGCATAATTCAAATCTAGCATCTTCTAACAGCAATAATAACTGAGAAGAACTCAGACCTTTCCTAGACATTTAAGTAAATTGATCCATCAGTAAAAAATAGACAAATTCTCAGCTTCAGGCCAACCCATGTATCTAGCAAGGAGAGGGAATGTTGAGAGCACAAAGTATTTTGTATTTGTATTGTATTTGTATGGTATAAGCAGTAGCCTCCAAGAATGTAAGATGATCTTAATGGCCTCACCTGAACATGGGCAGGGTTGCTGAACATCCCTGCCAGCATACCTGAAAGTAAAATGTTATGTAGCTGCCCAAGTAACTATGGGCACATTAAATTTTGCCATTGTAGGACTGTTAGTTTGGCTGCCAGTGAGCTTCCAAGTATAATTTGAGGTGGCTCTTTAGGAAAGATTTGGGGAGGATGGAGGATTCAGTGTTTTGGTGCTTCCTAAACCACTCAGAGCTACAGATTTGAGTAGCATAGAAGCCTAACAAGATAAATAAAATTCCTGTTGATGTAAGTGGTCTCCTATGCCAAAAAGAGAGGATGATGGAGAGAGAACTAGGCACAGAGAAAGATCTGCCACTAGGGCCCTCTTAATAATGGGGATCTGTCATTGTGCAGATCCAGAACAAGGACTCTGATCTCTATCATAGCATTTTGTGGTTCAAGCATTAGTACCTCATTTTTCCCAGAAGATTTCTCAGCCACTTGTCTAAGATATGGCTTAGTGTAGTCCTGCTACGTTTCTAAAAATCAGATGTGACATCAGATGCAGAATTGGAAAGGCACCCTATAATTTAATACCTGAAGTTCCTAATTCGGGGTAGACCATCCTTTTTGACAAAGATAAGACCCCAGTATCTCCACACCCCTACTTGTCTGTGCTGTTCTAGAGATGGGATGAGGAACTGGAGACTCAAGATATTGTTGGACACTGACTTTTCTTAGTTCCGACTATCAGGGTGATCACAGGTAATGGCAGATCAGACAGAGTCTAAGGGATCTTGGTTCCCCACCACCCCAGTTCTGGAAAATTCCAAATCTTCTCCAGCAACCTATGACAAAAACCAAAAAACCAAATATACTAGAAAAATATCACGTAAGACCATTCTCCAAATTAAATTGAACATTAAGATATTTAAATGGTTTGAAATGCAATACAGACTAACAACTATTTTGGGTTCAATGAGCAAGTTCTCAGGTAAAGAATAAAGGTTGCAACCTTAGTCTAGAATCCAATTTAAGTATTCTGTAGTCACAGAATTATAGGGAGTGAAATTTGAATATCTTCAAATGAAAGCATCCGATGTAAAGTTAGATCTGAAATATTTACTTGTTTTCCATGCTGCTTTCTAAACTGTAGTTCTCAGCCTGTTCTTTCAAGCGGATCATGTCATCATCAAAAGCTTTTGAGGACCATTATGTAACTCAGACACGGTACCTGTCGGCACCATGTCAGTGTAATTCCCCAGAACATATCCAAGGGAATAAACATGGAATGCAATTATTTTTTAATGGCAAATCTTTCACAACCACCAGATCTCAAAGGATTTTAGTGTTCCCCTCCAAAATCTTGCAAGAGTTTCATCAGGAACATCAAAAGCTTGTGAGATTCCAAGCAAGAATGCTGAAACTTGCTGGCTAAAATCTTGACAATTCCACAAGATTTTGGCCATAAATAGGTAGGTAAATAGAAAGACAGAGACAGAGATAGAGATAGAGATACTGGTACAGGGATAATTTATAGTGTCATCACCAACCACTCGTGGTCCCTGGAACCACAAATTGAGTACCTTTCTTAAAAAAATATATTGCCCCAATCAGGAGGGAACAAAACTCAGCATGGCTTCCCATCCCAGCGTCACCCTCCACGGTGCTCAGTGTGTGCTCTTTTCATACCTTTCTTTGTCATCTTTACTAAGAGAAGCGTCTCCTTTATCTACATCTCTGTCTCGTTCATGAGCTGCAGCAGACGTGCTGCGTTCCATCTCACCTGGCTTCAGCCAGGGCGGAGGAGTCGGAAACGAAGGAGGCGTTCGGTGCAGACGATTCCAAGGCTCGTGAGGGTTGCTAAAGCTCTGCATGCTGGAGCAATCCTTGTGGCCAAACATAGTGTTGGGTGCTGAAATGGTGAAGTGGAGGGGGGGAGGGAAATAGAAAGCAAGACGCTCAGTGGGTGGTACTTACCAGTCAAACCCAAGTTTGTTTATTTTAACAGCACTCAGAGTTTAAAATGAATACATATTATGGGGAGCTGGAAAAGGAAAGGAGATTAACAGATCATCATTAGCCTTGGCATTCCGAACAATGGCAATTCATTTAAGTGGAAGCGATGCAATCGCTCTGTTAAAATGGCAGGTGGGGCAATTTAGGTGACCCACCCACCAAGATAGATAGATAGATAGATAGATAGATAGATAGATAGATAGATAGATAGATAGATAGATAGATAGGTCTGTGTGTCTGTCTGTCTGTCTGTCTGTCTATCTAT